ACGAAGGACCGGTTAAAACGTAAAAACTTAACTTAACGAAGTAACGTACGAAATTAAGTAACGAAAATAAAGGAAACGAATAGTAGACGAATTAATTAGTATAACTACACTACTCTCTCTCTCTCTCTCTCTCTCTCTCTCTCTCTAACACTACATAGAAAACACAAATCCTGCCTCTCTCTCCAAAACACTACATAGAAAGCACAAATCCTGCCTGATTTATGAGAAACACTACATACGAAAACACAAAGCCTGCCTGATTCTTAAAAGATCATTGCAAATGCTCTAATCCCTCATAATGACATACTATTTCAGAATTCATACTGATCCCATCTAACGAGCAATTTTCTCATTAACGGATGCTGTTTCATATTAAAAATTCTCAACTATCTGAAATTACTTATGGAAGATAAACTTCTTCAACATAAAATAGAATTTACAAGATATTTCTAGATCAAAGTACAAATTGAAGAATCAAGGAAAAATAAAGAATACTAGATTAAAAACCTCAAATGAAATTACAGAAAATCTTGAAATTAATTCATGTAACACTGATAAAAAATAGAAGAAATTACCTGGAATTATTTCTGAAAGTGATGCACATCACTAAACTGATTTATTAAAAAAATTAACAAAATGAGGAAACAATAAGGATCAGAGAATTATTTCATAACAGCAACAACAATGGAGAAAAATTGAACTTAGCAGGAAGAACAGGAAAGATAAACAAATATTTGCAGCAAAAATTGAAAGATTTTAACAGATTGCATCAAACGAGAGAGAGAGAGAGAGAGAGTTACCAGGAAAACTGTAACGATTGAGCAGAGAACTGAAGAAATTGAAAAAATTGAGAAAAGTTAAGAGCGAAGAGAGGTGGATATATAGGCGGGAAATCAGAAAAATGATTATAATGCCCCCAATCTTCTTTGCAAATATCAGAAATACATCGTTCTTTTCTAATGTCAAAAATACCCTTTGCTTTTATGACTATGGCATTTTTCCATCTCGATTAAGACTATATTTTTTTGCTATTATCTCCATTTTCTTGAAGTTTACAATTTATCTTTATATATGGTAAAGTATATAATGAGATCATTTATCTTTAGTACATGGTGGTCACAATTAATCTTGATCATTGAATGTGAAATTGGGTAGTTTTATTTATTACATTGACCAAGTTCAAAGTTTAAAAATAAATTTCGCAAACTTTGTGACACATTCAAGATACGCATTGGGTGGTTATAAATAGTTGTGACCTTCTTATACTAAAGGTAAACAGTCATTGTATACAATATTTTTTACATGTTATGGGAAAAGTTTATGTATAGCCAAGGCTCTAAACACTCAAATTAGAGCCCACCTTGAAGAGGTTATTTTGATGCCTAAATATTTTTAAATTGATCATCTCGACATCAAGATGCATAGACATGAAAAAAAAAAAAAAGATTTCAAGTTTTGAAAACAATGCATCTTGTAAACGAAATTTTTGACTGTCAAGTTTCAAGTTTCATTGATCTACTCGATCCACACTATTTCTTAAGCTTTAAAATTTATAATTAAATATCAAATTATATTTTAAAGATATAACAAAAAATTCAAAACCACATTTTTTGACAATATTTGAAGGTAGGCTCTAATTTGATTATTTAGAGCCTTGGCTCTATACAAACTGCACCCATATCATATGTTATAATTTATGCACATGTTCCCATGTTTTATTTTCTTTTATTTGCAAACTTTCAAAATTCCGAACTACTATGTATCTAAAAGGAAAATGGTTTTATAGGCTTAACAAAATAAATAAAGCCTCACTCAATACTCATCGAAAAATGCAATTTTGCATCACATAACCTTTAAAATGATCATCTCGACCTTAATAATTATGATTGTGAAAAAAATTAGAATATCAATCTCTAAAAATAATGTATATTGTAACAAATTTCTAGACCATTTATTTTGCTCAAAAAATAAATATTCACATATCTGCAAGATCTATACCCTTTTTTTACTTACAAATTTCATAATCATATTAGAAAAATGATTTTAGTGCCTTTATAAAAAATATTTATGCCCTGAGAACTTTCAAATTTCATAGTCATATTAGAAAAATGATTTTAGTGCCATCATGAAAAAATTTTATACCCTAAGTACTTTCATACGAGAATATGAAGTGAGGCTTTAGTTTGTTTTCATAAAACCTAAGCCTTATTAAAACTCCATCCTATTACTCAATAGTTGGTCATTGTTCAGATATTAACAAGCAGGCTATGCAAATGGCATATGGGTACTTTGAAGTTCTAAACCACTTTTTTAGTCTCTTCTCTAGGAAAATTGTTTCATGCGGGTTGGACTACATTTCTACATATAAGGTCCAAAAGTTGTAAAGCATCCATCTTAAATATGAGACTAACCGTCTCAATGTGTTTTTACTAAAATTATTATTTATAGTTTTAAAAATTTATTTATTTTTTTCATATTCATGATCTCAATGTTGGAGATTACATATCATTCGAAATTAGGAAAAAGTTTATTTAGAGCCGAGGCTATAAACAATCAAATTAGAACCTACTTCAAAAATTTCACTAGAAGAAGTTGTTTTGATGCCCAAATATCCCCAAATTGATCATCTAGACATCAATATGCATGGACATGAGAAAAAAAATGGATTTCAAAGTTTTGAAAATAGGGTATTTTGTACGCATTTTTTAACCATCAATTTTAAAGATTTTAAAGTTTTTTTAGATATGTCGATCTACACTATTTTTAAAACTCTAAACTTTATAAAGAAAGATAAAAATATATTTTAAGTCTATCATAAAGATTACCTGTAATTTTTTGGCACTATTTGAAGGTAGGTTCTAATTTGATTGTCTACACCCAAAACTTTCTCCTAAAATCCATCTCAAAAATAGATTTATGAGGAGGTCCGTATTTCTACATATGCGGTCTTGGTTGCATAGAAACCGGGTTGTCAACTGAGAATCCAAACAAAATTTAAAGGCCGCAAAACCCAGTATAAACCCTTGGGCTCTGAACTCTCGAATTCTAGCTTTAATGGCGGGTGAGGAAGAAGAGAAGGTTAAGAAGGAGCGAATAATCGAAGCAAGAGCGAGCAACATAAGCCACAACGTTCGATGCACAGAGTGTGGAAGCCAATCAATTGAGGATTCCAATGCAGATGTCGCCGTTCTCCTCAGAAAGGTTAAGCTTTTATCTTTCTGGTATTTGGGGTGTTTTTTCCTCTCTTTCTATTGCATATATTTTCTTTCTTCTCGGAAGGCTTTGGCGTTTCTCTCTCTCTCTTTTGGTTTTTTTTTCCCCTTATTTTTCTTATCATAAAGGGACTTTCATTTCTTTGCATTCTAGGGTTCTTATTCGTTCGATCTCATAAAGCTATACTTGTTTTACTTAATTCTAGGATATAGTCTCATTTTATTCGTTTTTGTTTAGTTTTTCTTCATTTCTTGGTAACTATCATGTCTCAGTCAAAATTTGGGGGTAGCAACCTGTATTCCACATTTTACCAGAGTTATCTATAATTAAAGAGCACTTTGGATTCGATTTCTCAGTTTCCTTTGGAAACAATTGTGTGAATTTGGCTCCTCATTGTTTTTGTTTTATGACGGAAACCGATATCTCATTTTATGAAACCATTGTTTGAACTGAGCTTCTCTTTTTTGAGTGGAAGCCACTGTTTTTCTCTTCGTTATGGAAACCATTGTTTGAATTGAGTTTCTCATTTTCAATGGAAGCCATTGTTTAAATTGATATTTTCTTTATTCATGGATGCAAACCATTTTTTTATTCCAGCATCTCTTTTTTTTAGATGATCACTGTTTGAATCCAGCTTATCTTTGTTAATGGCAACCATTGTTTGAATCCAGCTTCTCTTTTTATGGCAATCATTGTTTGAATTGAGCTTCTCTTGGTTATGGTAACAAGTGTTTTATCATCTTTTCATGTGAAACAGTTGTTTTTGAATTGAGCTTCTCTTTTGTGTTTGGTTTATGCATTAAAGTCTTCCCTTGAAAGCTCTTAATATATGCTTAGGAAATATTGGTGGCCCGAATACCTGGCAAACCTGTGTTACTTCATTTCATGAAAATTAACACAACAGCTAGGTTTCCCATACAAGCCCATGGTAATATAGTGAAAAACGTCTCTTACCTTTTTTTTCTGATAAAGTTAACCTTGAAAAACATCTCTTAACTGATTTTCCCTTTTGTATATTGAAAGCAATTGGTTCTTTTTTGGAGAGCTCCATTGCATTTCTTTATGCTTTTGTGCTATTTCATCTCTGTTTACGCTCGTGAATTCATTTAGTGACCATGAATCTGTGTTTGCATACCTTCTTGGTATTTTATGTATCTTATTTGAACTCTAGTAATTCATTGGAGCTAACTAAAGGACTCTGCCACTTGTACTTTTACTTGATTCGGTGAGGATTCTTGTGTGATATATGTGATTGGTTGTTTCACAAACTTGAGTGTGTAAAGACAATGTTTGAGGGACTCATGGTCACTATTAGATTGGGTGGTGAAGCAAAAGGCATTCCTTTGGTGTCACCGTGGTGGCTTGAGGAAGGTACTTCAGTTTAACATGACCATGATTTATATGAAGAATAAAAATTAGGAACCTCCAAGCATAAAACAATTGGGACCCTGAAAACCCATAGGCCTCGAGTTTTACCTTTTTTTTAATGGCAACATTTGTGTTTTTGTAGTGAAGTAGTTACGGTATACAAAGTGGCATCCCGCAATATGGGCACTTTATGTATCACAAAAATGAGATCAGAAGAAGAATCAAAAGATAAAGGAACTGAGCTTGGAAGGGTGCCACAAGGTTTCCATTGTTGTTTCTAGATCTAGCTCTTTCTCTTGGTGAGAGTGTCAGCAGCGGAGTCTGTCTTCTGCCACCTATGTCGAAAGTAAGTATGACAATGCTTTCAAAGATTGAAGATATGTTCAAACATGTGCTCAAGCCCCCAGTGAGAGGGGAAAGCACCAGATGTCCAAGATATGATGTTCTTTGGTTTGCCCTCAATGACCAAAAATTTCTGGCTGAATCTTTTGATGCCCTCAAGAAGACCTTAGAAAGAGAGAAGGTTATTTTGGTTGTGATCTGTGAAAAGTCCTCCAAAACCAGCTGGGCCAGGGTTGCCGAGTGAGTAGCTGTCCATGCTTTTCAGGGGTTTATGCTCCCTTTGTGATGTATAGAGTGCCATCCTAAGCACCTATTTTTTCGATGTATAGAGTTATCCTAAAAACCCTTTTTGAGATGTATAGAGCACCCATATAGTGGGATGCGATTTTGTGTACTGCAACAACTTCATTACTGAAATATGATTGCTATCGTTTCAAAACAATATTCCATGACTTGGCCAAGTCAACTCCGACTAGGCCAAGTCGACTCCGGCTAGGCTGAGTTATGGCTGTGGGATAAACTCTAAATTTGCAGTTTTCTTATGTTGGCATGAAGAAAATTGATAGAGCTCATAAGAAGCTAGAGAGGTTAGTAGAGGTGCTTTTCTCTTTGCTTAGAGCTGTCTCCAATGTGATACTGGGTTCCCTCTAGTCTTTACACAAGAGGAGAGGCTGCTTTGAGGTCGAATTTTGCTAGACCAAAGTAAGCTGGTCTGATACCCTTTTCTTTAGGAGTTGATGACATTGATTGTTAAACTTCCTTGGTGATTTTCCCATTGCATCTCTTGGTGGTATTCTTGTCTGTAGGCTTGGTCTCATGGTTTCTTTTTGAGGAACTAGGATTCACAGGTTTATGCAAGAATTCTTTCTTGATTTGTAAGGTAGTAAGGTATCATGACATCAAGCATTTTCCTTTTCCGCCTAACATGGAGGTCCTATTCAAGGTGATGACCAAGGTTCACCTTATGGAGAATATACCCACACTTGGAACCTCGACTCGAGGAGATTCGGATTCTAACAATTATTGGATGAAGTACTCTTACTTTGTAGTCGAGTCTGTGTTGTTTTTGTAGTTGGTTGTTTTTCTGGATTATTTACCTCTATGAGCTGCAGTTAGCTTTACACAAATTCTTGCAGTTAATAAGGGATGAAATTCGAGCTGGGAAGTCAGATAAGGAGGTCTACAAGAAGCTTGAGGAGGATTTTGGGGATACTGTTCTTTATGCCCCTCGTTTTGATATGCATACCGCTGCATTATGGCTATCTCCGGTTTGTTTATCAAGCTCTCTCTCTCTCCCTTACATGCACCCCTCGCATCCTCTCTCTCTATCTCTCTCTCTCATTTCTTTGGTTTTTCTCTTAGAGCAATATATGAGTTTTGCCTGTCCAATTTTTAGGCTCTCTCTGCGGTTTGTTCAAGTTTCATCTTTCGTCATTGTTCACTAATTACTAAGCAGCAGTAGATAGCTTTGTCTAACCAATTTCAGGCTTCTCCTAAAGAGTTGTTTGTCTAACCAATTTCAGGCTTCTCCTAAAGAGTTGTTGCTCTCTCTCTCTCTCTCTCTCTCTCTCTCTCTCGATCTCTCTCGACATGATTCTTGATTTTATGGAAACAGTTGATAGTGGCTCTCGACATGATTCTTGATTTTATGGAAACAGTTGATAGTGGCTGGAGTAGCAGGTGGGATATGGGCCTACCAAAGGCACAGGCAGAAGACCAATGTACATATAATGGCACTGAACCTTGTGAGGGGCATGCCCTTGACCCCAAAGGAGAAACAGACCATGCTAGACCTTCTCACCCCATCTCCACAAAAGAAGAAATGGGGATGGTAGCAATCTCTATATGAGAGAGAGAGAGAGAGAGAGAGAGAGAGATTTCCTGGGTGAATGTGGTTCTGGATATTTCAATTTTTTTTTTTTGTGATATGTTTCCTTACAGTTCTTATGAAATTTTTAGTATTCAGGTTGGTTTCACATTGAATGTTATTATGTAATCTATGCTTCTTTTTCTTCTCTTGTATACACTGTTGGTTATCTACATAGAGAAAAAACAGGTATACAATGTATGCCATGTTTTATAACAATGCAACAAGAAGAAAGGGAAAAAATCCTTTGTTGATGTGAATTGTCATCTTGTGATTAACATGAACCAACAGGACAAATTGTAGACCTGGACTGAAAACCACTTTAAACATTTAAATTGTTGCATAACATTGATGCCATCGAAAAGCTGCTAACACGACCCAAGAAATCGATATCTGTTTTTGCATCTCTCTCTCTTCCTCTGTCTGTCTCTCTCTCTCTCTCTCCTACTTTTCTGCATCTGTCTCTGTTTCTCTCAAATTAAGTCTTTCTCAAGTTATC